TCTAAGTAAACTGAAAAAAAATTATTTAAAAATTTTATTGAAACCAATTTTAAAAAGCTAAAGCTTATATGTCGTCAACTTTTGCGAATCGTGTTTAGAGTTAGTGACACTGCGCATTCATTTATAACCGAACGGATGTACTTTTTCTCTCTTATATTTATATTTCATTTGAAAAGAGATTGAATAAAAAGAGAGAGAGAGGAGAGAGAGAGAGAGTAAGCCAGTATATAATAGTTTGATTACATTATACTCTAACTTCATTGTCATCTTATTATCAATGCGAAAGAAAATTTAAACATTTATTATTCTTAAGTTCCACCATTATATAATGGTCAGTAGAAGGGGTATAGTGGTTAGCGACGTTGGCTTCTGGGCTGTAAGGCCTGGGTTTGAATCCCGGAGAAGACATGGATGTTTGTAAATGCATTATGGCCTTTGCAGCATGGAGGTACTCTAAATATCCGTCGAGTCGCCTTCTCGTTAGGTTGGTGGAAAGGGAAGAGAGGTGGGAGGCCTCTGACCACCTTTGTGTTTTCCCTCAAAATTGAGGAGGAACCGAGCCAAAACGTACTGTCACCTGTATGGTGCTCAAAGTTAAGGCGAACAACAGGCGTAGCCCTTTGCCCCGATGAATTTCATGGACCTTGATCTGACATCGTCAGACAGGTGGCATTTCTAACAAATACATCAAAAAGGTGCGTGAGTACGTGTGTGGGGGAGAGTTCATATAAGTATAAAACAAGTAATATAAAAAAAATTAAGTCAATTCCTACTTAGATCAACAAAGAAAAATTTTATTTTAGCTACTTTTTTATTGAAGAGTTACAATTAATATAAATATGTATATACATATGACAGAATCACAACATTAAATGGTAATTAGTTTTTATTATCACATTAAAGTATCATATTTTCATCCAAAACATTCGTGTATATAAAATTTCAGTTCAACTGAATGCTTGAAAACGTGAGAAAAAAAATCTTTTAAAGTTTTGACCCAAGTCGCTAAAAATGAAACCAACGTGGCTGTATCTGTAGTCCTTTAAATAATTATTTTCAGTCGATTATTTTTGATTAAATTATCGCATTTTTATCCCCAAACAATAGAGTATAGAAAATTTCAGCTCTCAAATAGCGCTTCAAAATGTGAGAAAAAACCTTTTCAAGTTTTGACACAAGTCGCCAAAAATAATGTCAAAGTAGCTGTATTTGTAATCCTTTGAATAATTAGTTTTAATCATTTAATTTTTATTAATTACAGTTAAATTACTGCATTGTCATCTAAAATAATCATGTATATAAAATTTCACCTCAATTGAGGGCTTTAAAATGTATTTTATTAAAGATTGAAAATTCAGCCAAGAGTGTGAGCTAATATATAGAAAGTATGAGCTAATATTAGGAATTGAAAAAGAAGTTTACTTTCCCAAAATTAAATCAAACTTTTCTTAAAGATTTGTTTTGCATTTTGATTGGCTATGGGTCAAGGCTTTAAAATAGGAAAAATAATGAAAATAGTTAAACCTTATTTTAATAAGGGTATGTACACTGTGTTGAGTAAGCTATTTTTTTAACTTAATGTCCTAAAAAATTGCATAGGAATAAAAAAAATAGTCACACACACACTGAACTTCTTATTTATAATACGTGATATGTAAGGATTTTTTTTGAGACGTGTTAATCAATTTAGGATTTAACAATTAAATAAAGATTCTTTTGGGGTTATTTTTTTCTTCTTTTTACTTTGAAGGACAATATTTCTGCTGAAACTCTGTAAAATTTTCAAATGCTTTTATTTTTTATGTCTTTAAAAACTCCAATACATTCAACTAGCTCAAATTTTTCAGAACATTGCACTATTTTGAGTAATGTAACATAATTAAATATACTAAAACAGAGTAATATTTACATTTTCTTTTTTACTATTTAAAAATCCGCCCTTTTCATATCTTTAAAGGAATTTCAAATAAACAATTATAAGGTGCCCTTTGGGAAAATAAGAATTCCCCGCCCACTGAAACTAGATTTGTTTACTTATAACTACGTTACAATCTAATGACTCAAAATGCCATTTTATTCAATTTTATCATATACTTTTTTCATTTTATAGGAATTATACTTAAAATGCTTTAAATATAATGAATACTTTCTTCCTACATTTTAACTTTAAAATGCATTTGTTAATTGGCTTTTTAATGATTCATTTCCAAGAAGCAGAAAATATTTCAAAGGATTAAGTAGCGCAATTACTGATTAATTTGAAAGCTTTCGAAATTTAAATCCTTTATTATCCCTATATTTCGAAAACTCACTAATGACTACACAAGAGAAATGTTTTATTCATAATAAGCTGAAAAAAAGGGAAAACTTTATAAAGATTAAAAACAGAGTTAAAATATAAATATGGAGTGCTTGTAAACATATATTTTCTTTTTTATTATTATTATTAGTAGTAGTAGTTTAAAGTACTCTTACGTATCTCAGATTATTCTGAATTCTTTGAAATTACAAGATCCATGCATTCGATATTCTTAAAATTGGCTTACCAACGATGTAAATGCTTGTATTGAATTGAAATATAAATTTAATAACACAAATATTTAGCTTACAGTATCCGAACACGTTCCAAGTACTTTCTTAAAAAAAACATACTAAAACATTATAAATGCTTTTTTTTAGGGATCAATACCAATAAATACTAATATTTAACTGAACTGAACTCAGTGGCGCAACAGCCCCATGAGGATCCAAAGCCTACTTACTGTGCCTATCTCAGTTTACGTGACCTTAGGCGCTGGGGTGCATGTGCAGGTGTTTGGGTCATGTGGTCAGTCTCAAGTTAAACTCTCAGTGTTCCATCTCCAAGTAAGCTTGGTATTTTTTTATTGACCGACTGAAGGGATGAAAGGCTGATTAGACTAACAATATTTTACTAACAATACTAAAAAAGGTATTTGTTTTACAAAAATCACAATAATAAGTGAAATTGTAGCAAGATTTTTCAAAAACTTCAAAGCAATTAGAGAAAAAAGTAATAAGCTTATATCAGTAAAAGTATAACTAAAACAAATTTGATGCCTTTATCTAGAGAATGTTCTAAAATTTTAATGTTTTTTTTTTTTAATTTTTTGAGCTGATCGAATAAATATTATAAGAAACGTGACATTCTTTATTTGACTATTTTTTAAATAGCAAGCCAAAAATCAGAAAAATATCCGTATAATAAGAAAGATTTTAGTACATTCTCTAGAAAATAATACAAATATCGATTTCAAAAAGTTTTTAAGGAAATACTTATATAAAATATTTTGAGTTATCAAATTCGCCATGAGAAATTTTGAACAATTTAAATGCCCACTTCTGGTAGATTAAAGTCCCACCTTCCGGGTTTTCTAATTTTACAAAATTGACTGTAACTGGCTTCTAGGTAACGTAGAAAAAGAGAATAAAGTATGTTTTGTAAAGACAAAAAATAGCTTTATTCAGTAAAGTAAGAAAAAACAAAAAAATATATATTTTGACCGAATTTTTTCATTTCGACGCGTGTTCGGATATCTTAAGGTATCCCACTACCTTCGGAACTGTGATTTTAAAAAAGCCCCTAAATGGATAATTTTCATGATATTTAGAGTCACTCAGATTAGAATACATGCATAAAATTGTTTTAAGGACATTTTGACAAAAAAAATTATTTAGATACAATATTCTGGCAAAAAATTAACTTAGAATAATCTTTATTCAAAATGTTCTCCATACATCCTTTCTATATCATACCACTACTCAACCCTCAGAAGGCCCAACTAAATTTTTGAGAAAAATTCACATTACTTTCAGAAGTTACCAACAATTGGAAATATTTATTTCCTTTACATTTCACTCCACTACTACTAATCATCTTGTTAACCCTTACTACTTCTATTCCATTACAGTTGAGCCTCTGTAGAGGTCTGAGCTATATACAGGCCATCTACTAAGCCAGATATTTTTAAGAAGAACCTTTGAAAAAGGATTCTTCTAATTCATTTCCTTCAAAATATTGTACTTAAAATTTTTTTTTTGTCAAAATGTCCTTAAAACAATTTTATACATGTATTCTAATCTAAGTGATACTATATATCATGAAAATTATCCATTTCTGCCCTTTTTCAAAATCACGGTTCCGAACGTAGTCGGATACCTTAAAACGCCTTTCAGTTCCAGTTACGCAAAAGAAATGGTAAATTAGGATCTTATATTTTTGTTAATTAAATTAAATTGTTTAAAGTTCGCGTGTATGTAAGACAGCAAAAGAGATAATATATAATACTTTACTATTACTCATTGTATGACCAAAATAAGAACCCACTTAATTCTCTCATTCCCATTTCTGACTTCTTTCTACAAACACACACACAAAACCGATAAATAAACAGCATTCATAGTAGAAAAAGATCCCAACATCACAAAAGAAGCTGCATATACAGTGGCGGCTTCTTCACAGGAGAACATGAACACGTGAATCTCTGAGATAAATAAAAATTAATTAAATAATGTCAAGATTAAAAGCTTATTCTCATAACGGAGAGTTCCATTTATTTAACAATAGGGTTAAGTTTTGTGGGATCTCATAATAGCTCTTAGTGACATTTCATGGCTTTCAGGTCTTTCTTACTATACATCTTCAGATGGCAAAGATACCAAGCGAATAGTCTTACAATCGTGAGCTCTCTACCACTTTTCTTGAATCGCTCGTGCTGTTGTTCAAAAGATCAACCTTGAACAATCAGAGCTGAGCTCAGGAGTTGGAATAAGGCTTTCACAAGAATGAATGAAAATATAAAATATAATATTAGATTCTCTATTGTTTCTCTCTATATATATTGTGCTCTAATAACTATATATATAGGGTGGGAAAATAGAAAGCTATTTTCTTTTCTATATATGGTGTTGGACTATTATTTCTGTTCATTATTCCTATAAAATAGAGTAGTAAAAAGAAATAACTTTCTCAGAAATTAGGCCATCCCAGTTGGGATTCAAACCCACGACCTTTGGATTACAAGTCCAACGAGCTATCCATTGCGCTACAGGGACACAACGAGCGAATTTCCTTTTTATATATCGTGTTGGACTATTGTATTTGTTACTATTAATTCAATAATTAAATTTAATTAATGGATTAATATTTGAAAAACTTTATTAACATCAAGTGTCATCCATTACTAGTTTTAAAAAAATGTATTTGAACTTGAGTAGATGAATAAAAAGTATTTTATTAAGGATTGAAAAATTGAACAAGATATATAAATATATAAGGAGAATGTGAACTAAAAGTAGGAATTGTGTAAAATAATTTTAAGTAAAACTATAATATTGCAAATCCACTGAAACTTATTGTGAATGAGATTGAGAAATATATTAAAGTCAAAATATAAAGCAACACATGGGCAATTGGCAACGGACCTCGTAATTTTGAATCTCCTAACGAGTGGCTAGGATGACACCTGAGCTGCCCCCCTCCCTTTCTAACAACCCAACCCCAACAAGGGGAGGACGTTTGAGCCGCGACAGATTTAAAGTGCGTCGGTCCCCTCTACACGGAGAATAAAGTTCTTTAGAAGTAGACTAATTATAAAAAAATATTGTAAAATTCTTTCTCAGAGATGGAGAATTATGTACAATCTTATTTATAGACGGAGAATAAACTTGAAGTAAAATAGAACATGATATTATAATTACGCAGTCACTTTTACCATTATAATTTCCATCATTACTTGAAGGTGTGCTCAAAAACCATTTAAATACATCTTGTGTGTGTCATAGCATCCCCCTGTCCTAACTACCACACCACTCCCTAGGAAGTACATTATTAACTGATTTAACGTGCATCGATCCACACAGCGAAGTGCCCACGGTAGCCGAGTGGTCAAAGAATCGGATCGTGGCTGGCCTTGTCACGAGTTTGAGCCCAGTACCTCTAAAGACCCGCCGTGTAGAGGAGCGATGCACGTTAAATCTGTCGAGAGCTGAAACGTCCTCCTGTTGGTGTGGTAGTTAGGAGAGAGGGGTGCCAGCTCAGGTGTCGTCCATGTCACTTGATTATGGTTCAAAATATCGTGGTCCGTCGCCAAAAGCCCTCGTGTAGCTGAACAGTGCGTCGTTAATATTCACTCACTCACTCCCTCCACACAGCGAAACTTCAGAAACGATGGAGCTTCACAAACTTGTGGTGATATATATATTTAGTACTTTGTTTTCATGTTATTGTTAATATTAATTAATTATATATCTAGGATCTTAAAATTACCTAAATTGTAATTCATTAAAAAGTATAAAATAATGTTAATGAAATTACATAAGTAAATTTAAATAATTTCAAATTATTTATAAAGAAAAATAAAGCAAACTTTAAGTGAAATAAATACACGTTATTTTGAAGAAGTGAATATATTCGCGTCGCACTATTCAGCTACTCGAGGGCTTTTGGAGATGGATCTCGTAATTTTAAACCATGGTTAAGAGACGAAAATGACAACCGAGCGGGTAGCCCCTTTCCCTAATTTCCACACCTCACCAAAGGGAGGACGTTTAAGCCTCAACAGATTTAATGTTTACTCCCCTTCTACACGGTGGGTCTTCAGCAATACAATGCTCGAACTCATGACCTTGACCACTAGGCTACTGTGGCCACTTCAAGCTATTTTAGATATTAATTACCTTTATGGATCAAATTGCCATTTTTTTCTGAAGAAATGTTTAAATAGGTATAGACGATCCGTTAAATAATTTTGACTTACTGATTATTGGAAAAATTATATAACTAAATACTAACAACTCAAAACTCTTTATTTACTACGAAAATTTACTCTTTATTTAATTTTGTACTGTATTGTAAATGTTTTAGAGAGAGAGTTATTCGTATAATTCAAACTGAAGTAACATTAGTGTGACTTCTGTTGTTGCAAATTTGATGACAAATAACTTATGTTAGGATTGTAAGACAAATAAAACAAACGAGTGGGCTCCCGCTGCCTCGCACACTATGACCGAACACTCGCGTTTGGTCTTAATACTTCACAGTGAATTTTGTTATTATGAACTAAAATGCACAATCATTTTGATCGGTGGCGTGCCCAAAATATTGTGTCGCGTGCCATTGGTTCGCCATCCCTGATATAGAATATCAATTCTAAACATGGTTGTCTTAAAAAAATTTGCGTGTATGATGTACACATAGAGTAAAGTACGTTTAATGAGAAAACCCTTAAGACAAAATATTGGTTAAGGTATCCGACTACGTTCGGAACCGTGATTTTAAAAGAGCGCATAAATGGATAATTTTCATGATATTTAGTGTCACTTAGATTAGAATACATGTATAAAATTGTTTTAAGGACATTTTGACAAAAAATTATTTAAATACAATATTTCGGCAAAAAATTAACTTAGAATAATTTTTTTCCAAAAGTTCTCCTTTTGTGAAAAATGCTTCTATTATAATAATATTTTGCCTGTATTTAGCTCAGACCTCTGTACAGAGGCTCAACTAGAATGTTTGAAATACATAAATTAGAAGTGGGTTTATCCATATTTTACGACAACAGAGGGGAGAAATTTTAAGAAAAAAACGCCAAGAATTATTTCAATTGGTGGTAACTCTAAAAATAATGTGAATTTTTCAAAAATTCTAGTTGAGCCTCTGTAGAGAGGTCTGAGCTATATACAGGCAAAATATTATTATAATAGAAGCATGTTTCACAAAAGGAGAACATTTGGAAAAAAAATTATTCTAAGTTAATTTTTTGCCGAAATATTGTATTTAAATAAATTTTTTTTTATCAAAATGTGTGTGTTCTTAAAACAATTTTATACATGTATTCTAATCTAAGTGACACTAAATATCATGAAAATTATCCATTTATACAGTTTTTAAAATCACGGTTCCGAACGTAGTCGGATACCTTAACATGAAATAATACAATGGTCCCGACAAACTACAATGTATTTTCATGTTTTTTTTCTTAACATGAAAAGATTTTCCTTCTGGGAATTAATAAAATACGGAAAACTGCCCGACACTTAATGAAATGTTTAAAAATTTTCTGTATTATTGGACTGTCTTACTGTATCATTAGAACAATTCGCTGCAGTAGATGATGAATGATGATAATGAGTGTACAGCCCCAATTATGGAAGACCAAGACATTTTGGAGTTTGTTCAAAGAGCTCAGAAAATATCATTGATACAGATGTCGATGGCGAAAATGAAATGAAAAATGCAGCTCCTGTTTTCACGTCATCCGAAATCAGAAACATCATGAAAAGTATGCGCAGTTATTTAGACGCATATTCCAATGATGAAATGAGTAAGAAATTGGATATTATCGAACATAGTGTTGATAATTTAATGCTAAAAAAGACAGTTCAAAGAAAAATATCAGATTATTTTCCAAAAACTTATTAAATGTTTTGGTTTTCAACCAAAAAAAAAACTTGAAAATTTTGTATTAAATTTCATTAACTTCTTGTGAATGTTTTTGTTTCACTTATTCTAGGAAATACATGCATATATACATATCTAGGTGAATAAAATGTACTCTAATAAACATAACTTTGTTGAATATTTGCTTTTTTTCTGGCAATAGCTTTTAACAAGAAATTCTTTTAACCCGAAAAAATATTTCAGTCTCCTCAGTTTCGTGTTAAACGATTTTCACTTTTCATAATACATCGATAAAATCGTCAAATATAAAGTGTCTTAAAATTTTAAAGTAGTAATTAGTTATTGTACTTAAAACTGTAAGTGTTTTTATTTCAGGAAATATATTTTCAAGCTTCTACACTTCATGTACTTCTACTTAAGATCAGTTTGTTTAATGTAGTACTCCATTTTAGTGTGTGTGCACTAATCTATACAAATCATTAGGATCGGTCAACAATCTACTTCAGATAATTAGTATACCCACGTATAACTATTACCTTTTTTGTCCTTTTCAAAATGTCTGATTTTTAGAGTGGCATCATATGCCCAGCGAACTGTAAAAATATAACTCCCAAGCACTTCATTTTTATAGCGAAGTGTCGTTTCAGATTTGACTGCCACGGAGCCTTCGCTTAAATTGATTTTTTTTCTGCTACAAGAGAAGCCACGACTTTGGAGCACTGTCATTAACCCTCAGAAAATTCGCATATTGGCACCAAGTCCTCTGATTATACAGAGAGGGCAGAAAACCCCTGAAAATGTCATGAAAATTAAAGACCTGTCAGGGAAATTAATTAACAACTCAGCTTCGGAACGGATGTTTTGACTGTTAACATTGCCGCAAATCTCCGTTCCGTCGAATGTCGTGAATGGAATTTTTTTAACGAGTATTTTCTTTAAATTTTGAGCTAATATTGGTTTAAATTGGAACGAAATCGATCGTTGAGTTATATTCAATTCCTATCGAAAGAGAAACATACTCTGCAATGAGGAATATGCAACGAATGCATATAAGCATTAAAAGAAAACTCTAGTTTTGCTTACTCAACATTTTACTAAAAGTTTTGAAAAGCTGTGAAGAAGCTAAATTAATGGTATCAAAATTTCAATAATGCAAATTTTTATGCAATTATGCGTATTTATGCGTATCGGAATCTCACTAGAATTAAACTTCCAAGAGCTTTAATTCAACAAAAAATAAAACATAGTTAATTAGTGAAGTACGTAGTATGATCAAAAAATTCTGAGATTGCGGCCATTTCTGACGACGAAAGAAAGTACCTAAAGTTAAACCACTTAAAATGGATTCTCCCAACTCTCCTCTGCCTGGCCAGGTTGGTTTAGTTCATGGCATGTGACCAAACCGCACGGGCAGTTGTTATCTTCCGAAGCTAATAAGCTTTTTTCCATGATGTAAGAAAGATGGCTTTCTCTTGAAGAGCATTGAACATTAAATTCTGTCAACGCATAAGTAAAACACCAATGGCGTTTTTGGAAATGCTAAGTAAGATGTATGGGGAATCTACCATGGAGAGATCCAAGGTTTACGAATGGCATCGACGTTTTAAAGAGGGCGGATAATTCATCGATGACGATGAACACGTTGGATGAC